GATCACCTCATCTGATAAAGGGGAGAGGAGGATCCTTTCTCTGAGGGAATGCCTCAGAAGGAGTAGGCAGGATGCTCGGCAGAAGTACATCTCTTTCTTCTCCACCAATATTAACAGATCTTGAGAGACAAAGACTGATTTGCTTATCTTTTTATCCCCTCCCCCCTCCCATAGCCTAGCCGGGTGTCACATGATGGGTGCTCGGTACTGAAAAGATTGATAGGGAGATTTTAAGAGACCGAGGAGCACGACCCTAAGCAATGAGGACAAATGAGAGGGGAACAGAGGGGCCCCAAAAGGAAAGGATTCTGGCACTCAGAAACCAAAGATAAACACTGCCTGTTTTATAGCTTTGCTTCAGCAGACTAAAGTTCCAGGGCGGGCTGAGCTAATTCCACACTTAAACAAATATATTCTATATAGCTCACAAGGAGCTCACACAGTCAACCATGGCGGCTTAACACGGCTCAGTTTCCTATTCATAGCCACACTCAAAATGGTCCCACAACTCTCTCCCTGGAGCCCGAGACTAAAATGTCTGATGCAGGCCGAGGGAAGGCCCATGGCCGCCATGCCTCCTAAAATTCTTAGGGCCCTTAAATTTGACTGGCTTTTTTTTTTTTTTTTTTTTAATGATTCCAGATTCTGAGAAGAAGAAAAAGTAGCTCATGAGGGATACCTGGATATCTTATCCTTTACTTACCTCTTTACTTATTCCTGCAAATGCTTTACAGATGCTCCACTGGGAGGCTGCCAAGGGGGAAACTCATGCCTTGGAGGCATTTCTCTCATCCTATTTGAAGACCCTAATGAAAGGGGGGGGGGGTGCTCAGAGCTGTGGCGGCTTGTAGCTCTCTGCAATTGAATTCCACTCTCTAATGAGTTCCCCTAAATCTGCCATCAGATGACTTTATTGACTTTCAGATCATAATTAACCAACACTCACTTTTTTGCAGTTATTTTGACTTTCTTTCTTTCTTCCTCCCATTCTGTGATTGAATGTCTGGACCAACCTAAGTCATGGATTCCAACAGATGCTTAATGACCAGACACCAACAAGGGACACTGTCTTTCCTTGTCACTTCTGAAAGAAATATTACTGGGGTGGGAGGGGTGGAGGAAAAAAAGCAGCCTAAAGTATTTTCCAGAACTACTGGATGTCTTAAAAGGTAAATAGGAGGAAAGTAACCCATCAGTGGGTAATTGACACTTTTTGTGACGTTTTTATTACTTTTCAATTAAAGGAGGTGATAGAACATTTGGTTACCTTCTAGACCAGTAAATTCTCCAGCTCAGAAAGTCTTGGCTTCATTAGAAGCACATGCCGGTTAAAGTTGTAGATGAACAAGGCTAAATCAGTTGCCACCTTTTCCTTTTTGCTTGTTGGCAGTCTGAGATAAAATCCTGTGATAAATGAGCAATTAGGCAAAGACCTCATTATTTTTCCTAAAGGAACATATTCTGTTCAGCATCCCCCCATTATTTGAATTGATTTCCAGAGTGTCTAATACATTGCCCAAGTTGGTGACCGCTCATTAAGAAGATACCATGTTTCAACCCATATGTGCATGGGCGTGTGCACACCATACTGTCCGCACGCGTTTTGTGAAGGGTTCTTTGAAATAGTGAGCAGATAGATTTAAGTGCCTCACAATAAAAAGTCAGGACCTTACACCTAGCGGATATTGATGACTCGATTAATTAGTGAGGTGGTCTTTAATGGGACGAGCCATTAGTCCCATTTCCCTGATGGGAGCTTTGTGGCCCAGAGGAAATTAAGATCAGTTCGACATAGGGCTAATTGCACAGATGTCACTTAAAGGCAATTAGATCCTTCCCTCTAAAGCCAGGTTTCTGCTTTCCGACCCTGATTTCCTGATAATCACAACATGCTCTTGTAACCTTTGTCCTACTGCAAGCAGCCGTGTATTCTGGGACAGTTTATTTAACTTTTCTGAGCCAGTTTCCTCATTTGTACAGGGGGGACGATGTTACCTTCTTTACAAGGTTTCTGTGAAGTTTAAATGAGATGCTATTGGTCAGGGGCTTTGCACAGTGTTCGCTGGCTCAGAGTAATTGTTTAGCAGAGGGATACAGGTAATAACACATCAATATTAAGAATAATAATCTGGGTTTCGTGCTTGCAGATGTGAAGCCGCTGCAGTTGGGACGGTGTCCCAGTTCTGCAGGAAGCAGCATCCCAGAGCGAACCTCAGATCAGGGCAGAGCTCCTGGAGCCCATGGATGATGTCTGTGTCTTCAAGACAGGGAGGCATATGCCCCTTCTGCCACTCTGGTTTGGATGACCTCAGACTGCTTCTCTCTTGGCAGCTTCCACTCTGAATTTAAACCCAACTTGAAGGGCTTCATGTTGAAGTTCAAAGCAGTTTGGTAACAGATTAAAAATGTCTTTCCCAGTTGAAGGCTCTCTATTCGCTCTTGAAACAAGAAACTGGCCAGAGAGTGGGGGTGGGGGGGGACTCAGGGAGGGGCAAGGAAAGGGGCAGTGCAGGAGAGGATGGGAGGGGGTTCAACCCTAGATGAAAACATGGTCCAGTAAAACTTTTTTCTGATGGTGGACATGTTCTACGTCTGCGCTAATATGATAGATACTAGCCGTATATAATAAGCACTGGAAATGGGGTTAGTGTGATTGAGGAACTGAACTTTTTATATAATTAAATTTTTGTTAATTTAGATGTGTATGGAAATAGCTGATGTGGCCATTGGCCACCATATTGGCTAGTATAGGCCTCTGTCTTTTCTTTGAATACACAAGTTTATATGTTCTTTACCAACATAGATTTAAAAAATCCCCACATTTTATTTATATCGATCAAAAAAGAATGCCCAGAAGCTGATAATACTGGGAACTTTGTGGTTTTGCTCATAAACGCTGGTTTGTATGTGAGACTGAGTGGTGGTTTTGTCATTCTGTTCTAGGCCCCAAAGGGAATATGTCAAAAAAGATGAACAGTAACAAGTGTGATACTGGAAATGGATTCACGGTAGTTGGGTCGTGATCTTCTGTTCCTTTTTTCTTTTAAAACTTTCAGTGCAAAGAAATACAGTCAGGTGGCAGAATTTCCTTACTGTAGGGGCACTTAATGGCAAGCGCATTCTTTAAGAAAGTTATAGAATTCCTTTCTTTAATGCTTATTATACATAGCATATAGGCTCTTAGTAATCTGGGATATAGAAGTATTAGTCATTCTTACAGCAAGGTGATAGAGCACATGGTAGATTCTAGGAGCTTGAATCTAATAAATTCCATATTCTATTTATAAATCCAAGCAAGATTTTTTGGGAACAATTTATTTTTCCTCCTTATGACTACACTAAAAAGTTCTTAAACAAATATATATTAAATTTTGACTTATAGAAATTCCATGGTAAGGAGGATAATGCCACAGGAGCTGTCAGAGCTGGAGGAGAGGAAGGCTCAGGTGGTCATATAAAACCACAGCATGGTTCCATCCTTTAGGGAATGCGTTGGGCCATTGTGTGTCATATTTGGGGATTTGAGGCAACACCTTAACCAAATTGGCTCTCCCTGTTAGTCACATTCACTGGCTGATTGCTCATTTTCTTTACCATGGATTTTCTAATGCATTCCAGTCCTGAATTCAACTACTACGTGGACCTGTGAGGGCAGGCAGCAGTCCAAAACTCAGCCAGCCACCATTTGTCACAAGAATTGGGAACAGAATATGGTGGAGGCTCTGAGCTGAATATTTCCCCATGTCCTACTAAAATCCAACTCTTCTTTTGAATCTAAGAAAGGTAGAAATGATGTTCCTGAACCAAAACTCCCTCCACCAAACAAATAAAATAAAATAAAATAAAATAAAATAAAATAAAATAAAATAAAATAAAATAAATTAGAGCTTAAATTAAACATTGCCCAAGAAACAGACTTAAGTTTTATTCCAGATGTGAAATCATCTTAACATCACCTTTACTTACAATTGCAAAACAGCAGAGTCTACCTGACAGGTTCTCTTAGGACTCTTATTAGAAAGAGGTACCAGAGGATACAAAATTACTTTGCATCTCAATAGATAAGAAAGTCATTGTCTGACCTGAAGCAAGGCAAAGTCACCGTGGCTTTTAGCTGATAATTCACCAAAGCTGATAATTTGTCTACAGAAGTTGACTCAGAGGCCTGTGGCTGCTGGGTCAAAATGTGGGCCTTGGGTCTGCAGTATCATCAGCATTACGCAGGACACTTTCAGAAATGCAGTCTCAGGACCCACCACTGAAGCTGAATCTGCATCTTAACAAGACCCGAGGTGGTTTGTATGCACATTCAAATCTGGGGAACAGGTTCCCCCAGTGTCTGAGCTCTATCTCCTAAGGGAATCCTGATGCTCAGATCCTGCGTGGTTGCCAAGTCCTTGATTGTCGAATGCATCTTGCAATCTTTCTGATCTAAATCAATTTTTCTTTCTGAGCACCTACAATGCCTGGCATTTACAATGCATTCTATTTCTCTGCTTTTCTCAAAGTTTTCCACCTAAAGATTTCCTGCAATGCTGCCACTTTTGCTCTGGGAAGCCAGGTGGCTGTATTTGAGACAAAGATTTGCTGTAAGTTGATTACCATCTATGGCTCTGAAAAATTAAGTGGAAACAGCTGTTCTAAGGTCAAGATGAATTTAGTTGACACTTAGGACAGATCCCTGAAATCCGCACACAACACAGGGCCAGAGTCTCCTTGTTTAGGGCTGCTGTTAAGGAGTACTTCTGCCAAGCTTGCAACAGACGTGAATCACATCCTGGTTGCTGGGTTTTCAAGTGAGGGAGAAAAGCACAGATAACATGCAGTGGTGTGCAGAACTGTACAATTTTGGGTATAGAACACAATACAGTGGGAAAGACCTATGTTTCCTGGATTCAAATTCTCTTCATTGCTTCATAGGGAAGAGTACATTGTCTTGGAACTCTTAGAAATCTTTTTCATTCCAAAATGGCTGTCATCTGGAATTTGATTGCATTCCTGCCTTTTGATGACATTCCTGCCCAGATACCATCCCATACTTACAGAATTACATCTCCCTGGGTGGGTCCAGACATCTCTATTTATTAGCACAGGTATCCTGATGCCTGGGCACAGCCTAGGTTTGGGAGTGAACTGGGATGTCTTATTTATCTCAGTAAGATTCTGTTGAGGATGATGTCAATGGTCATGGGCACAAGGAGCCAGCTCTGCATTGGGACCTCTGGTTTTCTAACTGAAGACTCATCGCATAGATTCTCTAAGACTCTTGCCCATGAAACTGACTCAACCTGTGAAGAAAGAGACTGAGGTCAAACAGGTTTGCCTAAGTGCTCCCAGGGCCAGAACCCCCTGAACAGAATGGGGCTCAAGAACCACCTCCATGCCAGGTGGGCCTTGGATTACTGGTGGGGAGGTGGGGAGGTGGCTGATGGGCCCTATCGGATGGGGAGAGTCTTGAATACATCATTCTGCTCAAGTATCCAATTTCAGATATTTATTGATCACTTACTATATGTAAGGCTGTGTACCTCAGGGAATGCTGCAAAGATGATAATTCAACAAGACTTTCGTTTGTATTGTGCATGCTGGGGAAAAGGACCATTAGGAGTGAAAGTCAGAAACACAGGGAGCGTATTAGGATGGGCCTTTTAGACACCACCTGGCGCTTGGCAAGGCTGATTGAACAGAGATTCTCACCACAATAGTGCTGTCTGCTTGTCTGCCCTAATTTTGGACTTCAATGCTGATGGCTGGCTTTGGGCTAGTACGAGTGCCTCGAAGTAGCCTGTGTGTGTGTATGGATGAGTATAAGTAGGGCTTCTTCTGTAATTACTACATTCTATGATAAAGAAAACTGTTATTTATCAATCTTAGATAAAATTATATGTAAACACACTCTCAAATTTCCCCTTCTAACCAGACTGCCTTCCCCAAATACACTCTAGATTAGGATTTCTGGATCGCGACAATCTGGGACTGTTCCCTGCACCTAGTTCTCTTTCTTCGTGGTCTTCCTGTCTCCTTGCAGACCCTGGCTTAAAATTGCTAGCCTTCACTCTGTAGAATAAAAATTTGAGTTTGAGCCTCAATGTGGTGACCACTGACCTTGCCGAAGGACATTCACAGTGGCTCTGGTCTGGTTGAACATCCCTGTACTTGCCGCTCCTTGTTCTACGGTTCTAGTGAGGACACTTCAGTTAGACCCTCTGAAATTGACTATTGGCCTGGTCTTTTTCTCCCTCTTGGATACTAAACTCTGCCTGCTGGGCTGGACTTCCTCCAAGCATCAGCAGCTGGGTCAAGCTGCCTACCACCTGTCTCACCCCAGGAGGGAAGGCCTGGTTTTAAGGTCCCAGCCCCTCCTCAGTCTCACTGTCTTCAGGCTCCTCAGTCCACTCAATTAACTGAGTCATGCCTGGCTGTTTTCCAAGATATAACCCAGATGGAGGGAGAAGTTATATTTTGTTTTTAGGAGGATAGCTCTGTAAGGATCCTTGGAATGATCTACCCACTTTCCTAGAACATTATCTGACACCTCGAAAGAACTACTCATAAATTAATTCATACATGTTATTGCCATCACACCTTCCCCCAGTCTTGATGACATGACAGTCATCAGTATTCCCATCTTGTAGGTAGGGAAATGATCTCAAGTTTTCCACCACTAATCACTGCCTGAAGTTTATTTTTTTGCATTTCAGTTCTCAGATTAATCCATGCAAAGAAGTAGTCATGTTTACTAGCAGGAGACACCCATGTGAAGATCTTTTTCCAACCCTGGGCATATATTGTGTAATTAATAACAAACTCTTTGGGTATGCACAGTTCTTTTCATTCCAAAGATTCCCAAAGCACTTTTACAAGCTTAACTAGGGCTAAATATCCCTATTACCTCATCCAGCTCTGAAATGTAGCAACCTCTGGGGGAAATTGTGGCAGCTGCTTAACAACGCACAGACATACTGTACTGCAGCATGAACACAGGAGACTGCTCGGTTCACAGCTCTCTTTTATTTTGTATGGCAAGAGATGCAGATCAGGAGAACGGAATCAGGAAATTGCCTAGGAGCTCTACCACAGTCCGCAGGAACGTGCTCTTCACAGAGTCTTAGAGGAACAAAGCACATTCACCCAAGACATTCATCACAGCCAAGCAACACTTCTGGAGCTAGTAGGTCAGGGAGGGAAAGGATTGGGCAAAAAGATGTTTCTGGAAGGTAGCCTGGAAGGGGAGCACTTTGTAAAATTTCCTGGTATTTGAGAATTTGAATTCATGCAATTGCTTTATGTGTTGCGGGCGGTGAATAGTGGCGTGGATAGTTTCCATGTTCCTCTCTAGACTGATTCCACACTTCTGTACTCTGCTCTGTTCCCTGAGAGACTGTCCTTTATGGAATGCCTCGCTGGGGTTAGCCCGGCCCTCTAGTTTCTGGGCTCAGCCAATGGTTGGAAGCAATGATGCTGGGTATTCATTTCATTGCACTGCATTGGGTATGGTATTCTTCCACCCAAGTCTGCCAGTGCTGTCACATGGCCCTCTCTTCCAGCTACAGGTGCTCTTTCTGCATTACATAGCCATTCCCTCTCCTTGCCCCTTAAATCTACAATGACGAGAGCTCCTTGATGCTGCTAGTCCCAGGGACATTATTTTCCCTTGTTAATCTCCCTGACAACTTCCCCATCTCAAGTCACCTTTTCTAAAGAATCCACTTATATATTTGTCTCCTTAAATACCCTATTTGAGTGTGCCACCTGACAATTTATGATGACATGAGAAAGCACAAGGAAGAATAAATATTTATTATAATAATTAATTTTAATGAGTATCTACTTTGGGCCAGATAAGGTTTACATGCTTTACATGTAGAGTCTCATTTAGTTTACACTTCATGCAACATATATTTTGGTTATATCTGCATATCATGTATAATTCTAGGCTTTGGGCACTAGTGTTCAAAGCAGAAGAAGGTTTTGAACTTGTGAAGCTTAAATTATACTAGAGGGGCTCAGAAGGTATGAATTCATACTCCAAGTTTCATGGAAAAAAGCTGGGAATAAGAGAGTGAGAGAAGGGCCATAATTTCATGGGTGGTCAGGGGAGGCTTCTGTACAATGGTGTCATGAGAGCAGAACTGAAAGAAATGAGCCCTGTGGGGATCTAGGGAAAGGTAAGTGTAATTAATGTTTCTGTTTGATAGATTTTAAAAAACGAGGTTCTGAATAGTTAAACGACTCACTGTGATATGCAAGATTCAACATTAGAAAACCAAGTGATGTAATTCACAATATGAAAGGCTAAAGAGAAAAATCACATGGTCCTTACAGTAAATGCACAAAACGCACTTAACAGAATTTAAGATCCCTTTATGATAAAACCCTCAGAAAATCTGGAATAAACAGGGACTTCCCTAACATGATGAAAGGCATATAGGGGGAAACTTATAGTTGGTATATCTAATTATTGTATCTTAATGAAAGATTGAATGCTTTCATCCTTGCAAACATTTTTTTCTTTGTAAGCAAAGAAAGTCAGTCTCTGCTCTTAACACTCCTATTCAACATTTTTAGTGGAGTTGTTAGCCAATGCAATAAGGGAAGATAAAGGGGAGAAAAGGCATACAGATGGAAATAAATAAATACATCTGTTTTTATCTGCAGATCAGTGATGGTCTCTGTAGATGCAATGGACTGTATGTTTGTGATCCCCACAAATTCGTATGTTGAAACTCTAATCCCAGTGTGATGGTGTTTAAAGGTGGGACCCTTGGAAGGTAATTGAATCATATAGATGGAGGTGGGATGAATGGGATTTTAAAAAGGCCAGAAAGTTAGCTCTCTTTTTTTCATGTAGTCCACAACCCCAGAAAAGGGCTCTCTCCAGAAACTGACAATGCTGATATTCCTATCTTGGACTTAACAGCTTCCAGAAATATAAGAAATAAATTATTATTGTTTATCAGCCACCTGATCTATAGTACTTTGTTACAGCAGCTCCATCCCAAAGAACTAAAGGATTAAACAGTGCCTATTAAGGCCACAGAAAATTTCAAAATATCTACCAAAAAAGCTCGTATAAATAACAGATAAATTTAACAAGGTCATGGGATACAAAATCACTATTTAAAAAAGTTAAAAATTAAAATTAAATAATTTGAAGTACCATTTTATAACAACAAAATATGAAATACTTAATATAATATTAATGTACTTACTATACTTAATATAAAATACTTAACACTAAACTTATACTTAGTACAGAATATGTGCCAGATATGAATGCTAAAATTGCTTCATGAGTGATATCAAAGTGGGGCTTATCATGATCATGGATTGTAAATCTCTATATTAAGATGTTGATTCATGCCAAATTGATCAATGTAATCCCAATCAACAATTTTTTTTGGTAGGAATTGGTAAGCTGATTCCACATCTAAAAGAAAAGGACCTAAAATGGCTAAAATAATATTGAGAGAGAACAAACTTGAAAAATTCATACTAGCTGGTTTCAAGATTTAATATGAAATCACAATAATCAAGACAACATGGTATTGATGAAATAATAGACAAACAGATAGATGGAATAGAACATAAATACGAAGCAGAAATCTGTACATCTACAGTCAATTGATTTTTGACCATGATTCCAAGGTAACTAAATGGAGAAGGAATAATCCTTCCAACAAATGCCTCTAGAACAATGGGTATGTACATGGTATCATTCACTAATATCCCATACCATACAAAACCATGAAAAGTTAATATAAAAAATGATTGGTTTTATATTCAGGGATTAAAGTAACAGTGGATTGGTTTGTAAAAAATAAAACTCTGAAGAATGGAGGCATAGCAATTATCAAGAGAAACTGTTTTCTCTAGGGCTAAGTTCTAGACATTGTTAGGGAATTCCTGTTGGTCCTTGGATGGCAAAGAATCACTGTGGTTCTGGGGTGGTGGAACATGCTGGAAAGCTGCCCTGTACAACTTGTTCACAGGATGGTGTCTCCTCAGAGGCACTGGGCTACCCAACTGCCCTTGGGCACAACCAAGGAATGTCACTGGTTGCTTGATGCTCTGACTGAAGTTCCCTGCAGGAGGTAGCCCTGGAGTAGCTGTGTGTACTCCAAGAGGCTGTGGCAGGAGCACTCTAAAATCAGAAGGTAAAATCCCTTTTCTCCTGCAGGTTCTTTAGTAACATCTCTTGACAGGGCCTCAATGGAAGCAAAGGAAAAATATTTAATGGGCCTGGATCCATTTTCATAGAGCAGGCAAAGAGAATTAATTTGGAGCTGGGAGATAATAGACTGAGAAAGGCACAGACCTAAAATTTTTAGCACTCCCAAAAGAAAACATAGAAGAAATTTGTGTCACTTTGAGGTAAGCAAATGTGTCTTAGGACACAGAAAACAGGAATCGTAAAAGAAAAATTGATAAATTGAACATCATTAAAATTAAAAACATTTGCTTTTTGAAAGACACTGTCAAGAAAATGAAAAGCTGGTAACTCAGTAGGTTGTGTCAGCCTTTGGCTCAGGTCATGATCCCAGCCTGGGATAGAGCCCTACATCGGGCTCCCTGCTCAATGCAGAGCCTGCTTCTTCCTCCGCCCTTCCCCACTTGTGTTCTCTCTGTCTCTTTCAAATAAGTAATTAAAATCTTAAAAAAAAAAAAGAAAAGAAAATGAAAAGCCAAGCTTCATACAGGCAGAGATTATTTGCAAAACATGTAACTGAAAAAGGGCTTGTTTATAGCATATATAATTTTCATATATTGTTTGCTAGAAATCAGCCAACCCAATAAATAATGAGCAAAAGATCTGAATAGTCACTTCACAAGAAAAGATTTGCAGACAGCAAATAAACAGTTGAATGATGTTCAATGTCATTAGTTTTACGTAAAGACAAATAACAATCAAAACGATACTACATACTATTTGGAATGCCTAAAATTGGAATAAATTGACAGTACCAAGTGCTGGGCGGGGATGGACACCAACTAGAACTCTCATTCATTGCTGGTGGCAATAAAAAATATTATGGCCACTTTGGAAAAAGTTCAGAAGTTTCTTGTAAAGTTCAATACCTTCTTGACTTATGACCCAGTAATCTTACTCCTAGGTATTTATCCAAGAAAAATAAAAATATATGTCCAATAACATTTCTATGTAAATATTTATAGCAGTTTTATTCATAACTGACCCAACCTGGAAGCGACTCTAATATCCATCAACAGGTGAATGCATAAACAAGGTGTGCTAAATCCATCTCATGGTTTACTACTCAACAATAACAAGGAATTAATTACCGATAAGTGCATTATTAATGGACCTGAAAAGCATTACGTTGCGTGAAAAAAAGCTCGACAAAAAATTCTACATAAATATGGTTCCATTTATATGACCTCCTCAGAAGACAAAAAATTATGGGCACAGAAATCAGATTAGTGAATGCTAGGGGTGTGGGATGAGGGAACTGACTACAAAGCACCACAAGGAATCTTTTGGCGTGATAGAGAAATACTATATCTTGATTACAATGGTGTATACATTTGTTAAAACTCATGGACCCGAACTGAACAAAAAGGGGAAAATTTACTGTATATGAACTATTCCTCAATAAATGGAACTTTAAAAAGTTCAGATTTTTAAAAAATTTACATACAATTGAAATGCACAGACCTCCAGTGTAGCTACTGAAGACCACATTTTGTTAGTATATTATCTTATTAATGGACATTTAAAAAATCCCAGTTTTTTGCTATTATAAATAGAGCTCTGTGAAAACTCAGATACATGGTCCTTGCTGGATATACACCTTCAATTTTTTTGGAGTTGGAATCCACTCAATTCTTAAGCTAGAAATTGCAGGGTTACAGTTTATGTGTATGTTTGGTGGAAACTGCCAAAACTTTTCTAAAGTGGTTGTAAAGCTTTATGATCCCACCACTACATATGAGAATTCCAATTGCTCTACTTTCTCTCCAAAGTTGGTAAAAAAAAAAAAAATAAGAATTGAAAATTTTCACGTTTCTGATGGCTCTAAAGTGGATCTCATTTTGGTTTTAATTTGCTTTCTCCTGATAAGAAATGATGTTGGGCACCTTTTCACACATTTGTTGACCATTATGATATATTATTCTATGAAATGCCTTTTCAAGTCTTTTGAACATTAAAACAAATGAATTGTTTTTCTTTTTTTCTTATTGATTTTAGGAGTTATTAATATATTCAAGATGAGGGTCCCCATCAGAGATATGAGCTGTAAATATTCTCTCAGGAGAAATTTTGACTAATTATAGTTTAGATAAGAATATGCTGAAAAACACAGTAAGTGCCTAAAGCATATTAATCTTTTAAAACAAAAGAGCTAATGTAGGAGGAGGTAAAGACTTTGGCTGTCCCTTGCTGTCCCTTAGCTTTGTATACTGGAAGTCAGCTAGATGTTTCCCAGGCCCATTCTCTTTGTTCTCTCCTACAGAAAAATGACATCCCCCAGCCTCCCTTTCAGTTAGCTGGAGCCATATGATCAAGTTCTAACTGAAGGAGTGTGGTTGGAAGGGATGCATCTTACTTCCCAGCCTGGCTCATAAAAACCACTTTTTTAAATCTTTTTCCCCAGTCCCCTGAGTAGAGAGAGCCCCCAGGCTCTAGAGGATGGTAGAATTACAAGATGGAGGAGGCTTGGCTCCCTGAATGACTGCATGGAGCAGAACTTCCCTCACATTCCCTTCCCAACTTAGTTGCCAAATGGACTTGATGTGAGTGAATGACACACTTCTCATGTGTTAATCTGATTTTTTGTGTTTATCTCTTGTAGAAACTGGTATCACTCTAATTAACATACTTGGTATTTAAAACTGTACTTCTGTAATATCAGTTCTTTTCCTTACTGTGAAATTCTGCTTTCTGAAGCAATGGGAGTCATCCCTTCATTCCCAAGTCATGGCTACCATCAGCATCTCTTTGTCTACAATTGTCCCGAGATCATACTTTTCATCAGTGGAATCATTTGGGGGAGGAAACAAAGCAAATAAAGAAATAGAAGATGACTGAATCTGCCCACACTTCCTTAGTATAGCCGCCACCCCCATCCACCAATCAGTGGAGCTTCAGGAGGCTGATGGAACCCATCTCTATTTAGTTCTGTTTTGCTCCTGCAAATGGACATATTTGTCTTTCTCTGACTGATTTATTCTGCTTAGCATAATACACTCGAGCTCCATCCATGCTATCACAAATGGCAAGATTTTATTCTTTTTGATGGCCAAGTAATATTCTTTTATGTATATCTACCACATCTTCTTTATCAATTCATCAGTCAATGGACATTCGGGCTCTTTCTGTAATTTGACTATTGTTGATATTGCTGCTATAAACATTGAGGTGTATTTGCCCCCTTAAATCAGTATTTCTGTATCCTAAATACCATAATTTTTTAAAAAGCCACCCTACTTTATCACCGCAGCTGTCACAAGATGCTCATCTACCATTTTATAAGAGAAGGATTCTGAATCCTTCAAAGTTCTCTCTGAAAAAAAAAGTTCTCAATCTGAAAAAAAACAAAACACCAGAAACACTTCTCTTGAGGGAAATCAAAGCCTGGGGACACCTTCATAAGATTCATTCATCCTAAGATTCACTCATTCCTAAGAATGAAACAAACATCAGTGCCTTGTAAAGGAAACTATGTTTGGAGTAGATGCTGTAGAACCAGGCCTGAGGCCCTCATCTATATGATAAATATTGCTGTATGGCAAGCACTTCAGTATTTTTTAAGTCTAAAACAATGACAGTGTATTCTTTCTTAAGGTCCTGTGTGTTTGGTCAGGCTCAACGAGATGGTTTCTCTGCTCCTCGTTGGTATTTGCTGGGCCCACTCCCGTGGGTTCATTCAGCTGGTAGCTAGGCTGGCCTGGAAGGTTCTGAAAGGCCTGGGTGCTAACTGTGGGCTGAATTACCTCAGTTCTTCTTCATGTGGCCCCTCTCTCACAACAGGAGAGCCAGAACTTCTCTATAGAGTGGTGAGTTCCAAGAGGTTCGTCTGGAAGGACAAGACCCAGTGGACAAGTGCTTATCAAACCCCTGCTTGCCTCACTCTTGATAATGTCCATTGGCCAAAGCAAGTCACATGACCAAACTCAGAATCAATGTGGGAAGGGATCACTCAGAGGAGAGAGGGCTGGAAGTTATGACCAATGGGGAACCAGTGTCACAGTCTACTACATACTGCTGTGTGGCAGAGCAATGGACTCATTCAGAGAACTGGACAAAAATGCCCCTGATGGTGGGGATTCATAGCTGAATGTCTGTACATAGGAGCAGATGAGGAAGCAGAATCCCAAGAACAAGTGTGAAGGCTGAAGGGATGTCCACTGTCACCATCCATTGTGTCCATCTGGGGTCATTCTGTGTCATCCAATGCTACAACTCCCAGAAAGGCAGGGTCTGATTTAAAATGTTCCAGTGTACTGCTTGGTGTTTCATCAGTTTGGGAACACAGGAGCCCACTGTAGGTGAGTGACAAAACTGTAGAGGTCAAACCAATAGGACGCATTGCTTTGTCACAGCAATACTCAGGACAGCCTCCAGCTTGACCAATGCACAAGTATTGGTGCCAGGCTATCTGTCAGCAGCCTGGATGAACCTTGTTGACTGGGGAAATGGAGGGCTTCTTGGCAAGGTCTGAAAGTTTGGAGTGGAGTGTCATTCCCTGTTCATTTTTAAATCTCATCCCAACTTCACTTCCCAGGGAAGCCCTCTAGGCTCAGTTATTTTAAATTCATGTTAGAATTCCCTCCTCCTTTATTCTGACATGCATTGCTCTTCCTGATTTAAAGTCGGCAGTCCTGCTGGCCTCTCAGCTCTGGGCATAGAGGAATTGTCTATCTTGTTCAACACCATATCTTCAGTACCAGTACAGTGGGTGTGGAAATTGAAAATTGAAAACTGCATTCCCTTCTTCCCTTCCACCACCTCTCTCTCCTCTCCCTTTTCCCAGAATCATCTACGTTTGAAACTGCTGATGAAGAAGCAGGCCAATGACCTTGGGTCTCTGACCATGGCCTCTGTTGATCACTGTTATAAGGCGCAATGGCCCCAGGAAGTAGGAATGAAGTAACCATTGCTCTTTGACATAGTCATTTAACTCACATGTCAGTGGGGATGTAGCATCCTTGGGGAGGTAGTTGACAGTATCTCAAATCCCCCATTCTCTGTGGAATGGGACATGGAGCCAAGTTTGGAATCTCAGTGGGGATTCTTGAAAGTCAGATATTTCCCCAGGTCATCTCAGACTGATTTACTGCTTCCAACAAATCCTGGATCTTTCTCCCATCTTGCATATTTCAGCTGTCCCTGTCTCATCATCCTAGATCTACCCAGAGAGATTCAGGTCCTTTATTTCCTCTATATAGCCCTCTTCCCAGGCCATTTACAGTCCTTAATAAAGATTGATGGTATAAGCATGGGGGTTATATCAGAGAGTAGCACAGCAGGTAACTTAAGATGGTCAGACTTCACTCATTTTAGAGCCCTCTGGTACCCCTTCTCCTGGGGCCCCAACCCTACTGAGGAATGTGCACTGACCAGTGTCCTGCTAGTTCCAGCCTCATCTTCTTTTTGGGTTTCATCGCTCCTCCTCTGCCTCCTCCTTTCCACCCTTCTACTCCAAACCTCCCTTTCAAAACAATTTACTTTTATTTTTAAGAAAGTTTCCAACTTTTTTGAGTTACACGAAATGCGCAAAACTGCACATATTTAAGTGTATAACTTCATCAGTCTTGACAGACATGCACCCCCTGCAACCATCACCTCTCAAACAACATTTCCATCACCCCCTAAACATGCCTTGTGGCCTTTTCCATCCATTCCTTTCTCCCCCACATCCCCAAGCAACTGCCGATCTGCTTTCTCTCTCTCTAAGTTAGCCCATATTTCTAGATTTTATGTAAATAGAATCTTGTAATATGGTCTCTCTTTTTTGGCTTGGCTCTTTCACTCAGTGTAATAACTTTGAGATTTATCCACATCGTGTGTCCATCGATAGTTATTTGTCTTTACAGCCTACAGCATTTCATTGAATCACACTCCACAATTTATCTACTTACGCACTGATGGATTTGGGTTGCTCTGGTTTGGGCTATTACAAATTAAGCTCCTATGAACAGTCATGTGAAAGTCCTTGGGTTTCATGCTTTTATTTCTCTATGGTAAGTACCTATTAGAACCATCTCATACTTCGGCCCGCCATGGAGGAGCTTCAGTTGCTCCTTGTCTTAGGCCAACAGTTGCTATGGTCAGTCAATTTCTAGTTGAGCCATCTTAGTGTGTGTGTGTGTTTTAAGCACAAGAGTTTAGCTGCCTCTTGGCTTCATTCCTTCAGAAGCTGAGCATATGCTTAGGTTTACAGGGAATAATGTCAGGTTATACGTGTTGGCCCAGGGACTTTCTTAATTGTACCTGCTCTTCTCCTCCCCTGCAGTGTCCTGGTTTGCATAATAAGGTACCTGATTCCTCTACCTCTAGCCCAACTGGCAGTGGCCCCAGGCTATACTTCCACATTCACAGAGGCCCATCAAGGTGTTGTGTTAGCAAAGACCTTTCTATAAAAGGAATTTTCCTGCTTTTCTAAAACATTTCTTTTTTTTTCTTACCATGCTGGGATTACAGGAAGAAAGGACAGACACTCTAACCTGGTGCCCCCTGGGACCATCCTTGCATCCGGGAGAAGAGCTTACCAGGGAGAAGAGGAACCCATCCCAGAGGAAGGAGGGTGAGCATGGAGGGAGTCAATCATGTGGGCATGACATCATTTGAGTCCCTGGATTTCTGTACCTCCTGTTTGATATTGCTTGTGCCCTGAAAACTGCTCTGAAAAATAAGGTCTATTAAAGCAAACATTTAAAATTTTCCATTATTTTAATATATGCAGTTTTTATTTCCCCTTTGACCCAGAAGTTGTTTTAGAAGGTCATTATAAAATTTCTAATTGGAAGAATTTTTTATTTAAATCTTTACCATTATCTGTAATTTTATTTTACTGATGACAGATGTGTTTTTCCAAATATATCAGAATTTAATATGTGGCTTAAAATTAAATAATTTTCTAAAAATTTTTCATGGACGTTAGAAATAAAGTGATACTTTCTGTTTAAAAGGTAAAAAATTAGGGGCACCTGGGTGGCTCTGTGGGTTAAGCCTCTGCCTTCGGCTCAGGTCATGATCTTGGGGTCCTGGGATCAAGCCCCACATCAGGCTTTCTGCTCAGCAAGGAGCCCGCTTCCCCCTCTCTCTCTGCCTGCCTCTCTGCCTACTTGTTATCTCTCTGTCAAATAAGTAAATAAAATCTTAAAAAAAATTGTTTAAAAGGTAAAAAATTAAAAACGTATCTTTCAAATAATTGTAATTCATTGCATTAATAAGATTTCTTGAAATCTTTTGAGACATTTGTCTACTTGCTTAACAAAGGCTGAGTGAAACTTTTATTTCTTCTAGTATCCTGGTTTTGTCATATTTTCTATCTCTATTTTTAATTTAAATTTCCAGACAGATAATACTGTTTGCCACATAAATCTTTATGATTGATTTGTCTTTTTGTGAATTGTACTTTTACAATTTAAAATGATGGCTGTCTCATTTCTACCTGTAACATGAGTGATTTTGACCTTAAACTTTTCTATTGCTGTTTGTGTTTGTTTGGCATATGCTTAACTTTTGCCTTTGGCTTCTTTTATTTACTTGTAGGATATGAATGATTTTGGCTTTTTAAAAATTAACATATAATGTATTATTTGCTTCAGGGGTACAGGTCTGTGAATCATCAGTCTTACACAGTTCGCGGCACTTGCTGTAACACATACATACCCTAAGGTTCTGATGCTGAAATTATTCCACCGTTAGCTAGGAAAGCCTCTTCAAATGCCCTGTGTCCTTTGACACAATTTCAAGATGATCCAGGCTTACGTTGTACATTTCCACATACAGGAATCAGATCTGGAATTGGGAATTTATCCAAGAATGCCTGATGCCCTTACATGGGAAAAAGTATTTAGAGAAAACAATCAAGGCACATAATAATTTTATGACTTCAGATAACTGACCAGCTGCCTGGTGAACTTGCTTTGGTTAGAAATTATGCCTTCCCTAAGATTGCCTATTGAGACACAAATAAATGCCTTGGCTTTATGGAAACAGACTGTGAAAGTCTTGTCCATCGATTTCTCAGGTGTCCAGATTGATTGGATAATTATCTGTTCGTATTGGAGGGAGGAGACAAATTTAGGACCCCTACTCCTCTGCCATCTTAAGTCCTCTGACTGTGAAACCCTCTTGACATTTTTGTGACAGTGTTTTAGATAAATAGGTAGAACATTGGAACATTTGACAATAGAAAATAGAAACCAGTGTACAGCTCTATTAAAGAATGTGACTTGCCTGTCTTGGGTAGAGACAAAAAGAAGAAACAAACATGGCTGCCACGGAGCCAGCAGGGCCCTCATGGGAAGGGTGTGTTTACTCCCCATGCACCATGCTTGAATTCTATAGACTTATGCACGGTGACATGCAGGTCTTTGACCAGGAGACTATGTCTTATTTGTCATTATTCATTTATCAGGCGCATATCATGTGATAAATTTCTTTATTACTAAATAAATTGAGAGATGCTACCAAAGATCCAGTTTTTGGTGGGGGCAGGGAGGAGACCAAAGTAACTTATGGGAAATGCATAGTTTGCTCTGTATGTTTTTTTAAACCCCATCCTCTTTGCAGTTTCATATAGTTAAAATGTGCCTCTTCAAAAAATATTTCCATGTGTGATTTAGGAAAAAAAAATTCGAAAACAAAGCCTAAGCTCAAGTCATATTTAGTTGCCAGATTAAATATGAAAATCATTAAAAGACAAATTATTTGAGACAATGATGACTCCTCAGGAAATTCGTAACAAATGAAAAGAATAGTAGGGAAAGTACTTTTAATATATTCTCTTTAAAAAAAAAAAAATTCTCCAAGCCTTTGTTCTTAAGGAAGCAAACTGCTGGTTCACTTCCCTGAAGCCACTGATAAAACCATGCGAGAACATCAGAGAGAAAAAACGAATCCAAGATAGGTGCCATCCCCAAGGGAACAGAATGCTTCTTTGTTTTACATTTCCATTGGAAATCTGGAGATTTTGCATGCAAACATCTTATTTCATGGCGCTGCTTCTCAAATTGAGAGATTAAATCTAGCTCCGCATAAAGGTTTTTCAATAAAGTGGGGTTGCACGGTCTTCTGTTTATGGAAAATTGATGCGTCGTCTGATATGGTTTCAATTGCTAACTTTGGTTTCGCAAAAGCTGGAAGGAATTTCAACCAACCATTATCTAATCAAGAAAATATTTCCTACCTATCTTGTCTTCAGCATGACTTGCCGCCAAATGTCGTTTTTGCTATTGTAAATCACTATGCATTTCAACGAGCAAAATGGACTCTCTGGTTTTGTTAGAAGAGGTACAAATTATTGAAACCATCCATCATTATCAGCGGGATACCCCCCCCCATTTTGAGCACATTGCAGAGTGATTATGACATAATTTAATGTTAGGTTGGTTATACGACTTCAAGTAGAATTTTCACAATCTTGAAACACAGTTACATATTATCATAATTCCCCTGGACCTCTTGTTGCCACCTCACCCCAGCTCCACAGTCAAGCCTGCACTTGGGGTGTTGATTTCCCTATAAAATTCACGGTGACTTATGATACCAAAATTCCACCTGGTCTAACATAATATGAAGTGCCGGAAGAAGGAAACTAAGTGTGAGTTGTGCAGGATTTGGGGGAGGGGGGCTTTTCACAGAAAAAGAAAGTTACCTCAATCTATCCAACGACCAGTTCCCCACGTGCCCAGGGTTTGGGAAAGCATTCCGTGTTTATAAGGTGGCTTCTGTCCCCAGAAATGCGGGTACCCCATCTTCCGGTTTCCCGAGGACCCCAGTTTGTATCCAGGAAAGAGGGCCTGGCTGAGGAAGATGGTGGCGATGGGCCCTGGAATCCCCCTGGAATTCGGGTTCAGGGAGCCAAGGCAGATTCTGGAGCTGCCTGGTTCCGGGCCCTGCTTCCGCCTCTCATCAACCTGGGACCAACGTCTACCAGTATTTGTGCCTGCGCTTCTGTCCGGTGGGAAATGGTTTCAAACCAGAGTTTTAGATGAGTAACAGATGGACAGGTTTGGCTCACGTGACAAGTACTATCTACACGACAGCTCTCTGGATTTATGACTGAAGCTTCCCTGAGGACCAGGAAATGCCACCAGCATTGTTCCTTCCTTCCTTCAACAAACACGTGTGTGTGTTTACCATAGAGATACGTAGTGTGTGCTTTTTAGCTTAAGTGAACACAACCATGCAGTCTCGGGGGAGGAGGAACTATTTATTTTATTTTTATTTTAATTTTTTAAAAGATTTTATTTATTTATTTGACAGAGAGAGACACAGCGAGAGAGGGAACATAAGCAAGGGGGAGCAGGAGAGGGAGGAGGAGGCCTCCCGCCGAGCAGGGAGCCTGATGCAGGGCTCGATCCCAGGACCCTGAGATCATGACCTGAGCGGAAGACAGACACTTAACCAGCTGAGCCACCCAGGTACTCGCATAGAGCCAGTTCTAAGGAGGGAGCTGAACCAGAAAAGACAGCATGACTGCTGTGAGGGAGAGAAGAGGTCATGCTTGAGAAAGCCCCAGCCCTGGCTTTGGTGGGCCCTCCCTCCAAGGGCCCTGGGGCCTTAGTCTGGTCTAGGGGTTCTTTATCACCAGAGGTTGTTCTTATCCCTCTACGCCAGGCCTCAAAGTCAGAGCAGCAGGGTGAGGCAAAGAGAGGCCTTGACCTTGGATTCCTCCCCTCTGTGGGCCAGCCATGGGGCCAGTGTGGTGGGAACAAAGTGATCCTTGCAAGTAAAGACCGAATCCATTTATTAGGGTTTGTAGGAGTGGTGAGAGCTGAAGGACCCCCTGGGCCTGGGAGAGCCCAAGACAGAGCCCAAGTTCAACACCTTAGACAGAAGCCTCAGATACCAACACAGTCCGAGGTGGGGCAGGGCAACGCTACCCAAGGCCCGATGGACGGGCCGGGGGTGGGGGGGGGAGATTCCTCCCCCGACCCACAGATGATGAAATTCCTTCTTCCCTAGGCAAATGGAATCTTAACAACATGGTTTCCAGTAGCGGGTGAATTAAATCTCCAAGGCGGCTTTAATTACTGACTCCGTTTTGAGTAGATGGGTCAGTGGTTTTCTAAGTGTGGTCCCTGGACCAGCAGCATCGCCTGAGAACCTGGTAAAAATGCAAATTCTCAGGCCCCATGCCCTGTCCTAGAGGATCAGAAATTTGGGGGATGGGCCAGGGGTTGTGTTTTAAGCCCTCCAGCAGATTTTGATGCTGCCGAACTCAGAACACCGTCCTACATGAGGTTGTCAAACGTGTCCGCGCGTTTTCAATGTTCCTGCCGCCTGCGTTCCAGTCCTGGGGGGCTGCGGTTTAACCAGCAGGCCTGAGGTCTGGGCTTTGGGAGTTTTTATGCTCACGGGCGATCTAACGTGAGGACTAGTTTGGGAATCACTAGGTCAGACAGATGCGTTTCTCTCCCGCACAGTGGCAGTGAATTTATAAAGGACTCCAGAGACAAAGGCAATGCCCTCCCCTCCTTAGGACAGACAGGACAGTTTAG